TGATGACGAAGATTAAGATGACAGACTAGGTAAAAAGGTATTGATAAAAAGGAATCATTCAACTAGAGTAATTAGTAACTCAAATTTAACTACAGCATCATCAATTCATCTGTCTAAATCTACTGATAAACATCAAGAGTTGAAATTGTACCTGGAATACATCAGACAATAATGGCACTGGGTAGAGTAATTGAAATTCACAATACTGATACTGCCGATAGCATTTTAACGATAGCAGACTTTCCAAAAATCACGTTTTTGAATTAGCGGTTTTGGTGTTCTCAGAAAATTAGCATGAGTCGATGAAGAATTAATCTTTCCAGCTTGGCCTGTCGATCAATTTGAAGAGAAGTGAATGGCGCATTAGACTAAAACTTTGAATATAGTCCTTCATTCGGATGTAATGCGTAAAATAAGCAAAGTTTTATGTCATCAACTATACTTGTTACCATAAGTTCATTTTGTCTTTTCGTAACGCCCAATAACTCTTCATAATGTTTTTGCAGTAGTTCGCTACGGTCGAGAACCATTTCTGGTAGTTAAATTTGAGTTACTAATTACTCTAGTTGAATGATTCCTTTTTATCAATACCTTTTTACCTAGTCTGTCATCTTAATCTTCGTCATCAAAATCAGAAAATTGATTGCTTTGATTTAAATCTCATTTTCGTTTTTCATTCACTTGTACCCATTCACCATCATTCTCCATACTTTCTTCATTATTAGAAAAATGCCTTTTCATTTTCGTTTTTGTTCATAGCTATTCAATATTCGCCTCATCATTCCATTTACAATATCTTTTTCATCTCTTATTTTATTATTAGATTTATTATAACCATCATATCCCGCCATTAAGTATACAAAAAAACATATATATCTATATTTACTTAATAAATTATTAAAAATACCAGTGCATTTTTAATTTGATTCGTGGCGGAACTTGTCTGCATTTTTTTTTTGGAAAGTTAAGTACTTTTTCTTATAAAGTTATAAAAACTTTTCTTGTGTCCAATAAACTTCTAGAAAACGTATACCTTAATATTTTGACTTTAACACGCATTTTAAGGTAAGAAACATCCTCAGATATTTTAATACTGAGAATCCGCGGGATCCTGCGCAAAGTCCTGCGGGATCCTGCATGAATTTTGATTATTTTTTCAGTGGGTAATGCAATTAATGATGTATGTCTACAAACAATAGTTAAGGGTTCTCATTTTCACTATGCTCAGATTGTATGTAAAAAACATGATTTGGTATATTTAGCAAAACAAGAAAATATTCGTTGTGAGATAGCCAATATTATAAGTTTACCATTAGTCTCAAGAGTCCAAATTAATCATTGTATGGAAGTAATAATTGATGAACTATGTAATACTGATTCAAAATTTGATAAATTAACAGATTATATCTTAAATAATTATACTGAAGATGTTTATTTTTCATCTAATATATGGAATAATTTTGATTCAATTGGTGAACGGTCGCGTACAAATAATCATTTAGAGGTTATCATCAACAACTAAATGCACGCGTTCGAACGAATCCGGATCTCTGGACATGGATTAGTGAAGTTTATTCATCGGAAGAATCTGTTATGTGTCGTTATGAACAAGGATAAGCTCAAAAATGTACAACCAGACCAAGAAAAATGAAAAACATACGTGATGATGTGAAGCTTAAATTAGCAAAAACAAAATATATTGAATATAAAGACTTTGATAGTTAGTTGATAGTTTTCCTGATTATTAATCAAAATTAATCATTTTTCTGTGGGACTTGCATCTTATTCTGAGCACTTTCTCATCGGTATATAGATGCTGTAAAAGATGCCGGAGATAGTAGCTGCACATAAATAAAAAAACAAAATCAAGGTATGGCTGTTATTCAACAACTCTTTAAGTATATAGAAGTTGATTTTCGTCGAAATTATCCACACTTAGGAACTAAAGCCGCGGGATTTCAACATTGGTGGATTAATCGAAACGGGGATTTAATGGGAATAACTAAGTGTATTGATATGTATATTTATTTATGTGATTCAAAACATTATCCGTTGTCAATAAATAATATTCAATTAAAGCCTATATTACCAAAACATTTACCTGTGCAACTTTCAGTACTGATAAAATTTGTTGATAATTATATTTCAGTTGACGAAGTTAAGACTGAATTAGAAGGTCAATTCACAAAAATTTTTGCTATTGTTGACATCTTTGGAAGCAAAAATATGAGAAATAGACATGTACGAATGGATCTAGCGTCAAAAAGTGAATATGAAAATATACTAAACTCAAGCAAAGTTTCAATTTTTGGACAATTGTATGATGCCTACGAGTTTCTCTCACCACAAAAATTCTTAATATGCTCGAAATGTAACTCACCCGGGCATACGAAGAAAAACTGTATATGTGACATTGAAGTTTGTCGACGATGTGGCAGTGATCGTTTAAACGGTGATCATATCAACTGTATAATAAAATGTCATCACTGTGAAGGTGCGCATCTGTCGACGAATTATGTATGTCCAATTCTAACTCAATATAGAAAAGATCTAGTAGCTGAGTTAAAACGAAGACCAGATCTGATTCCAGAAGATGTGCAACTCTTTATCCCAGGTGAATATCGAGTGAACGACAAAAACAACAGAATTTTAGGAAATAATAATAATAACAATTTGAAACAACAAAAATTGCAGGAATACAATAATTATACGAATATAAATCCTTGGATGAGTGGTAATTCAGCACTCACGATTCCAACATATAAACAACATCAAGAGTTTAGTTTGAAAATGAAATTGATAAATGATGAATTAGAGGAAATAAAACGTGAACATGCGAAAGACAAAATATCATTTAAACGGAGATACGACAACCAATTAAAGAAAACAAATGAGGAAATTGATATATTAAAAACACAAATCAAAATACAAAATGAAATGGTTAAAGACATGTACACCGCAGTTATTGAAATTGTACCAGCTATACATCAGACAATAATAGCACTGGGTAGAGTAATTGAAATGGACAATAGTGATAATGACAACGAAAGTATTCAATTAAATTATAATAAAATACTTCATGAACTATCAAAAACATCAGAAATGGTACTCGATCGTACCGATCTACTTCAAAAACATCATGAAAAGTTAATGGGTGT